AGGTTATTGTCTGCAAAATCAATCTGTATGGAAGAAGCACAGGGATTAGACAGACTGATTTCTGTCTCATTTTTGAAGACATGCTTCAAGGCTGCCATCTGAGAAGTCCAGTCAGGCTTGGGGTACCCTCCAGAGCTTCCATTTTCCTTTCTAGCTCCTATTCTTATATTTTTCAGGCAGAAAGTCCCTAACCTGTTGTTCACCTCAAGCTCCATGAGTGGCTTTATATTGAAGGGATTTAGTGCTGGACTGTTCATTCTCGGCTGTGTAGCAGTTTGCATGTTTTCAGTCTCTTTCAGCAGGAGGGTACAATCACATTCACACTCAAACTCCAGCTTCCAAAACCTTTCAGCAGTGTGTGCTGCAGTACCCCTATAGATTATAGATACCTTGCTCGTTATATGCTTCTTCTCACCCCATGCTGGTGTGTTTGGTTTATGCTCTTTCCTTAGCCTGTGAAAAAAAACTGATTGTTGTAGCCAGTACCTGGAAGTGTCCCCCCATCCTGAGCTCTCCAGATCTGCAAGTGGTTTTTCTAGAGGGTTTAGCTTTCCAAGTATTCGTTTATGATGTTGGATTTTGAAAGCTGACCCCTTTTGTAGTATATGGCCTGGGTGAACTGCTCCCCTCTTGCCTTTCTAACCAATGGAACAAAATTCAAGTATTTGTTTGCATGCATCTTTGGACAATGGATCAAAATAATATCGAAGAAAAACAATGATGAAAACCAGACGTCCAATTGCTCAGGAAGTGGCAAGAGTAGCAGCTGACAGAAGGACCATTGCAAGCTCGTCTTGAGCACCAGCAGTGAACACGACCAGCTTGTAGGTGTAGTGGAGTAACTGGTGTCGTGTCGGTCCAGTGTGTCTGGCAGCAACGAGACAAAACTCATCTGAGAACCACTCACGTGTTTTACAGTTCATTGTTTTCGCTTAACATGTTGCAATACACAGTGGTAAATGTACTGTTACGCTTCTAGCTTGCTAAGCTTATTGTCAAGGCGTTGCTGTAATTTTCCATGTTAGATTCAGGTTCTAGGGTTTGTTCAGTGCTCTTCCTAAAGGTATAAGCCACGTTTTCCTAAAGTTGAGCAAACATGATGTGAGTTGGAGTATGGAGGAGGCAGATAGCCACATGGAAAAAAAAAAAAGTGTATAAAATTATTTTATTATGAATCTTTCAAGGATTTTGCAGTTTGGTGGGTAACGTTGTTGTTTGAGGGGCTTGATGTGACACGCAAAATGTGCTAATGCTTATTTAGGTGGACTAGAAGGAAGAGCAGCGCAGAGGGTGCTTGGGATGTCACGCACATCCCAGCACTGATACCGGGGTGATGCCCAGCTGCAGGCAGGCTCATCGTAACACGAGGCAAGAGGCTGTGCAGCTGCAATCCCAGTGCAACTTGTCCTTACAGATGTGATGCTGTGAATATACGGATATAAAGTGGTACAAGTGTCCTGCTCTGGGTGGGGCAGCGCGTGTAGGAGGCTTTGCAGCTCGCAGATGGTTTTTGTTGTGGCTCTTTACACGGCGCCCCAGGCTCCACTAAATAGACAACCTCATTAAAAGAGAAATAGCAACGGTAAAGCAGTGACTTTCTCATGCCATCTAACTCACATATTTGACATGATTGCTGGGCCTTCCAAGTACTTAATTGATTGACTTAATTGATTTAGTGGCACTGGAGGCTACAGCATGGAAATAAAGGGGCAAGATGAGGATAAGGGGTGAAAAAATTTATGGTAGGTGCCAAGCGGCCTGAGGGAAATTAGAAATGCTACAGATCTCAGAGGTAGCTAAATCAATTCAGTGTGATGTACAGGGGGCGAGTGGGGGGAAGAGGAGAAGCAGGGGATGGAGAGGAGAAGAGGAGAGAAAATAAGCGTGGCTGGAGAGAGACGGGCGAACAGGACAGGGAAGAGTGCGGTGCTGGCAGGTACTGGGGCTGTCCCCGGTGCCATTGTATTTAGCCTAAAAAGAACAACTACTGCACCCTGTGACTAGCTTAGTTGTCCAATATGAGGCTTTATCTGTGCTTGCATTTTAAAATCTTCAGTGTTTTCAAGTGTCTGAAGTCACGTGAGACCTAAAATAATGTGGAGGAAATACAGTGGATTTTTTTTAACAAGTGAAGCTTAAATGTTAAATTACTTTCTAATCTGTGCAATATTTAATTGACTGTATTGAACCATAATACAAATTAAGTCTTCTCTGTAATTTGTTCTGCCGTGCTGCAGCCCTCCGAACAATCTGATACCTCGCGTAAGACTTGGTGAATGGCTCCTAGCAGCACTCAGCAAAGATGCAGTAAAAACATCAAATAGCATGTGATGGAATCCATCAGCCTGTGCACGTGGGGGTGTCATAAACATCTCCGAGCTATGAAATACTTCTTTTATATGCCTTTGACCCACTGGAGACAGGATTAAGTCATGTTAAAACCTTGAAGATGAAAAAAGAGGAGGCTGGGGAGAGAGAGGCAGATGAGCTTGTGAATATTAACTGCTGGGCACTGACCAGCAGTTCTGCTGTAAGCAATTTTATGTGGCTCTTGTTTCATTTCCTTCAGAGGCTGGTGAACAGCTTGTCGAGAGGGTGGCTACGTGTAAGCACTTCCAGACTGAGTGGTGAAGAAGCCATTTCTATCAGTGGGCCTCATTCTGCAGGACAGATTAATCCCTGCGAGTGCTCTAGGCGCAGATTTAATCAAAACATGCAAAGACCATGTATTTATAGACTGGCTCGGTTGTAAGTCTCTGTTGGATGGCTGGGTGAGACGAGACAAGGCTGTGCTTCTCATCATGCTGTCCCTTCTGTTGTCCTTCCCTGCATGGCTCGCTGATGTAAGGGCTGTGCAGGGTATTGGGCAGGCTGCAGCCCTAAAACATGATTTACAAAAATGATGTGGTTCTGATCTTGTGTTTGGCATTGGTAAGTGTCTGCTGGCTGCAACAGGTGTCATTTCTGCTTCACGATGAGCAGAGAATCAGGCACTCCTTAAATAATATTCGGAGGTATTGGAGAATGTAGAAAGGACACAATCGATGCATCAAGGTCTGAAAGCCCAGGTTGAAATAAGTGCTTATTCCTGTGTTTCAGTACAGATGTGTATGCAACATTACATTTTATGTGCATGTTCCAACTCAGTATCCCTCAAACAAATGAAAAACTCTCTCTAAGCACTCTGTACAATAAAATACTTGAAAGGACAATGTTGCAGTCACCTTTACTTAATCTGTACACATATTGATACAGTATGGGAAGTGTCATAACCATTACAAATGTAACGATTTTCAAACAGTTAATGAGGGTTCCCAAATAAATCAGAGCATCTCCATCTGCTGTCTTACATTGCTGGTGATATTTTTCCAGTGGTAGAATGCTCTTCAGATGTAATTCCACGAGGAAGGAATCTGATCACAGTTTAATTTCAGTGCAAAATGCTGTCTCGCAATCAATAAAGCAATGTCAAGGAACTTTCATTTAATAGGAGCCAGAGATAACGTTCCCTGTTTTATGCAGAATAGAGAGATGGGAACATTTCATTTCATTGTAAGCATGCAAGCTGGCTTTCAGAAAAGCCTGATAAATCAATATCCATGTATTACCTAAGTAAGATCCCATCATTAATTTTAAACACTTAACACGTTGCAGAAGTCTGGAGCGCACCTTCGGCTTAGCCACAGCTCGAAGTCAGTGGCAGCACTTCCATTTCCCTAAGAACAAGCAGTCTTGTTCTTGGGGAGTTACGAGTCACTTACTGAGGAATTAAAAGAAATATGTCCAATCTTTTGTTTTCTATATAGTCATCTGTCTCTTGCACCCTGCCTTCCCTTTTAAATTTCGGTCCATGTTCTGTGGGAGTCTTGTCACTTGTCACTTGCCCTGCACGCGTGTAGCCTTTTCCCTTCTACGCACATGGATCCTCTCTGGTTTTGAATTTTAAAATGTTTTTTAAACTCTAAAAATAACTGGTTGTTTAGAGATTGCCTGGATGCCATGCTGATTTTCAAAATGTGCTTTTCTCCAAACCAGCAGGGATCTGGACCTCAAAAGAATTCAGTGTGAGGCTTTGCTAGCTCTCAGAAATGGCATTATCCCTAGATTATAAAGGAGCAAGCCAGTGTATCAGGGTAGGAATTTAAACTAATAGGTTGTTTTAGATAAACTTTTCAAGAACATTATTCTAAGTGGAAATACTTGAGCATTACTTTGGTAATGAAATACTAATTAGTCCACAGCAAGAAGGATGCTGGCACTTTGCATTGCTGTCAGGCCAAACCATGCTTAAAGGAGTCTCAGGTTCATGTCCTGGCTCTGGGGATAGTTTTACTCATGTATTTAAAAGGCAGTTGGATTTTTTTTGTTCCTAATTATTATTAACCAAAGTGGGATTTAAAATAAAATGGGAATATTTTCAAATAGCATTGTTTTAAGTTGGATAATCATGTTTCCATGAATTTTCTGGGAAAATTTGTGGAGTTCTGTTAGTGCTCAAGTGAAATATCACAACACCTCTTGCTGGCTGACGCTTACTGCTGTAGAGGTAGAGCAGCCCTGCTGCTGATTTGGAGAGCTCACATCTTCCACCTCTAGTCCTACAACCCCTGCATTGGCCTGTCCTTAGAGTCGCCCTGTAGGAAGCTACAGGAGGCTGCTGCTTCCTCTTTTCTATACCTATTAATATGGATTCTGCACCTAGGATGCTGTCTGTGTAGTAACTAGGTAGTCCTATTTTTTAATTGATTTATATCTCACCAGGAGATACTGAGAAAATTATTCAGTTGAAGGTTTTAGTCAAATTACTAAACTAAGTCAAATTTGGCCGGATTTTGAAAAGGGGATAGGCACGTAGAGTACAGGTGTTAATTGATTTTGGCACCAGGGAATGCTTATTTTAATTCCATAGGTGTGCTGAGATCCAGGTGAAGCACCGGTGAAAGGAAATGATACAGCTTTAGTGGAACATTTTGATGGATATTTCTTGTGTTTTTTGATAGCTACTACAGCACCACCATGCAGTTCATGAAATATCTTACATCGCAAAGGATATCACAGACCACCGAGCGTTTGGATATGTATGTGGAAAGGAGGGAAATCATAGATTTGTGGCAATAAAAACAGCCCAGGCAGTAAGTATTAGACCATTGTCATTTTCTACAGTGTAACTCGATTGAAAAGTCATGTTCATAAGAAGCTGGTCAAGAGGCCAGTCTGTACTGGTTGTGATTGTGCTATACTTGTCACAAGTGTCTGCTTACGTGTTCCTAAATGGCAAATAAATGAAGCCATCTTGGCAAAAAAAAAAAAAATATTTCACCATTTCTGATTTTTCTTGATATATGTATATATTTATAATTAGTTAAAACTTTATGTTCTAACTAAACTCATTACTCTGTTTGAATACAGATAACTTCGGGTATATTCCTATACTCATTTAACAAAGTGTTAGAAACCAATTAGCGATTTTGCATATAGCCTACCATAATTTCACTGAATAAGAAAATACTAATAAATATGAGTGGTTTTTATATTCAAAATTATAATTACCATTAACCTTAGCCTGCATGCTATGGCAGAAATTAATTCTATATGGAGTTCTCTCACTTTTTGGAGTTAGTATAACTGCTCTATCAGCAGGACGAGATAAGAGAAATGTGTCATCTAGAAACCTTTCTCATTCTTTTTGTTTCTGCAGGCTGAACCTGTAATTCTGGACTTGCGAGATCTGTTTCAGCTCATCTATGAACTGAAACAAAGGGAAGAAATGGAAAAAAAGGCACAAAAGGACAAACAGTGTGAACAAGCGGTATACCAGGTACATGCATAAGCTTAGACTACTGCCAAGAATAGTATGGCTTGAAGTGTTCCCCAAAACTGCTGCAAAGAGGCACTCGGTGTCCTCAGCATTTGTTAACAGCATCGGGTCTGAGTGATGCTAGCTCGAAATGGACCAATATGAAATAGCAGCTGTTGTTAGCTCAGAAGCAGGATTAAACAGTGACGAAAGCTATCACCTGGGGTAAGATGATCATGCTTAGCTAACTTGAAATGATCCATTCATTTCCAGCATAGTGCTTCTTCTAATGCAGGAGGAAAACTTTAATGAAGGCTATTGTGTTGTAAGTCAGTTTAACAGCATCTTACACTGTAGGAAGTTTCCGTGTACTTCTGAATGTTTGTATTAGAATCAAATCAAATAAGGTGCGGATTGTTAAGCTGATGAAACATGAATAGAGTTACTTTGTGTAATAATTTGGCCTTATCTGCATAATAAAGTAAAAAAAAACTATATGCTTACTTGCACATTTTGCTTATTTCTTTGCTGTCCTTTAATTTCTGAATACAGTTCTTTTATCTCTACTGTTTATGTTCTTTGCTTTTACTGCCTGTCCTCTTTGCTGTAGACAATTTTGGAAGAAGATGTAGAAGACCCTGTATACCAGGTAATTTCTGAAGCTGTATAGCCTGGGAGTTTCAGAAATGACTAGATACATGCTGAGATAAATCTTCTCAGAGACTTCTAAGATTTTTTAGAGAAAGTAGCATATTTAGAGATTAAGCTTTAAGTAAATGAAAAGTATATCTGTATAGAAATATTAGATTAAATATTTCCTGAAGTGTGGTTTTTGAGAGTCCAGAGTCAGTTTCCAAATGGCATTTGTCATTATTTTTTAAATGAACAGTCTAACAGAAAAAGGAGTGAATTTGAAAATAAGGAAAGTGTCATCTTGTTTTCATACTAGTAAGTTGATATTTTGCTGTTGGGTTCTATGCAGCCAGAATTTCATTTAGAGGGTGAATATTTAGGAAGAAAAAAAAAAAAACAGTAGAATTGATGTTCTAATACACTCCCTTGTTGGTATTTGGGCTATGATTTAATAATAGATCTGTAATTTAAGTCTTGTTTCATCCAAGCAAAACGTCTGGGAGCAAAGATGATTATCGGAAATATGTCAATGTATTCATGTCCAATATCCTACTGAGTGTGAAGAAGAAAAAGATGTAATTTCTTTCTCATGTTTTTGTGCTGAAACAAAACATGTAGCAGTTAACTTTTTTTTTTCCTGGTGATTTTGTGTTCTTCCACTGAGGCATGGTAGTTGGAGAAACACTGAAAGAAACTGATTCAAGCATTAGTGATTATTGAGCACCTGTGTAAGGTGTTTCTAGAAAGATGATAAGAATTAGGATGCCCTAAATTACTGTTCAGCTTTTATAATGTCAGGTGTTTTACTGTATGTGCTCTTCACAATAAAACAAGAACCTGAAGATGAGAAGTGACAGCCTTTCTCCATGTGGCACGTTACATGGGCACCAGCCTGCTCTCCCAGTTTGGATTTAGCTTTTTTATTCACAGCTAACAAACACATGTGGAAATAATTGCCATTATGTAAAAGAGGTAAAATTCACATTGACTTCAGAAAATTAATATTGGGCTACAGGCAGTGTCCCTAGTGAGAAGGAATTAGGAAGTTGCTCTAATGATCATTAGAGAAGATTTAGGTCTATTCACTATCGGTTTATGAAATATGAAACAACCTTACTCTGCTTTCCAACAAACCAGTTGGTGCCAGCCTGTACTTTGAACTTGTTTCTTTAATGCCTGCCTGTGTTTTTATGTGGAATTCCAAATTGCCTTTTTCCCTCTGTTTCATCTTTGACTTTTCCTCTCTGGCTGCTGGTGTAATAGTACATTGTGTTTGAGGCTGGACACGAGCCAATCCGTGAGCCTGAAACAGAAGAAAACATTTATCAGGTATAAAATCGCCGCTTCTGTGTTTTCATTGCAACAATTGCAAGCATTTAGTAAAATACATTTCATATATTATTCACTTTTATTAGTTTTCATTCATCACAAAAATGTCTGACATTTCATTCTTACGACCTTACATGAATAATCCGCCAGTCTCAGTGTGATTTTTCTATTAATTTGTTTGTCTTTTCAGCTTCTGCAAATTTTATTAGCTTTATCTTTGTCAATTTATGACGGGTCTTAAGCTTTTGGTAGACCATGTAAGGTGATAAATGGTGGAGTCTCTTTTTTTTTCTGTTAGTTCTTTGAAACTTTTTACAAGCTGTTCTAAGAAACAGATACTAGAATCTCATGGAGGGCAGACCATCTAAAGAGTTCCTAGAAAGGCATTTTGATGGTGCTGCTCTTCTTTCTGGCTAACCAAGGAGAATAACTGTGCAAAACCTAAGAGCTCTCTGGATATCCCCCATACTGGGGAAAATATTTTCAGCATATTATGTTAGAACCCAGCCTTTCATTCTTTGCACTGACAAAAAAAAAAAAAATAATGCATTGAAAGCAATACAAAATAATTTTTGTTATTCAGTTTATCTTCAAGGGATGTGGACATTATGTTTTTATTAAAACATAATGCAATTCATTTGTATCACATACTAGAAGTAAATCTGGAGGTAGACAGAAATCTCTGTGTGCCATAAGAAAACTGTGATTCGAGGAAAGCATTTAGTATGGAGGGGAAGGAGATTCAAGAAGTGGTTAAACCTTTCGTCTAGCTGTACTAGAGGTGATCTGCTAATAGGAAAAGCTTTTTAAGATATACGGGAGCAGCGATAGAAGAAAAAAGATGAATAGTAATGTTGGTTTTTTTTAAGTAAGAAGAAGAAGTAGAGAGATAGTAGAATAAAATGGAAAGGGTAGAGCAGCTGTAAACCAAAACAGAAAGAAGCTAAATAAGAAAGGGAAATGAAAAATAAAAATTACAAAATAACAATCTTGTAGACACCATCACAGGGTCATTAAGGTGAGATTCATTTTACCTGTCTTTATGGATTTCCTGGCACCTCCACCCTGCACAATAGCTTACACATCTTTCTGCATCCCTACAGCAAGGCATTCAAAGCTCTCAAGGTGAGAGCATGCCTCAGGTTGAAAATTTTCTACCACGTAGTGTTGAAAGTTTGACTATTTTCAGGAAAGCAATCCTTTAAAAAATGACTACTCTAGTTATCAGTTTTATGCTAGAAACAAAATTCCTGTGACAACTGCATTCAGACAAAAAAAAAATCTGATTGCTCTTCATCAAAGTGCAAAGCTAGTAGGGATGTTTTAGGGAAGTATCAGTGAAAGCAAGCGAAATGGGGTCATCATTCCCTGTATCTGGAAATCTTAGAGCAAACTCTGGTGGTAGAGGTAGGACCCGTGTTCTGAAGAGTTGCCTAGAGAATAAAAAGACTTTGCATGTTTTGTTTTACTTAAAATGGGCATAGAAGATGTTAAACAGGTGGTGAGTTACTCATCTTGAGGTGCTGCTGTTACAGCCCTGTTGTAAGTCATGAGAGAGTTGCTCAAGGCATCATTTGACTGTATCAGGATGTGAAGTGTTTCCTCCCACAGCTCAGCACAGCAAACACCTCTTCTCTGATAAACAATGCACAATAACCCGGGTACACGCGATCTAGCATTGTCCTTCTCTGTATTTAACACCCTGAACAGAGCAAATGCTGAGACTAGGTGCCATCGAGTCTGTTGTCTACTGCAGCTGGCAGATGCCAAAGTATGGCTACTGTAGACTTGTCCAGAGCCACTGGCTTCCTAGATCCCACCTACTTCATGAGTCCTTGGCTTCCTATAAATTTGGGATCCCATGGCTCAGATCTTATAGCTCAGATCACCAGAAAAATTATTTCTCTTACGAGATCTTGATGAACTCAGAACCACCTAGGCTACCAGGCTACTGTTCCCCAATGAAATTGGAAAAGGTCTTCTTGTGTCGGTTGTTGGGTTTTGTTTTTGTTGGCAGTGTTTTTTTTTGGTTGGTTGTTTTTGGTACAAATTGTTGCTAGCTTCTATTATTTACTACCAAGTCTTTCCATACCACACTGAAAAATGTGTGTCTCCTCAGTTAGCTCATGCCTCCTCACTACTAAGTTGTGAAAAAGGCTTGAAGTCTTTCTCACTTGGTACTGCTCTGCTTTTTCAGCCAAGAGCTGGTACTCAAAAAGCTCATTTTTCCCCATGGTAGAAGAGATTCCTACCCAACAAGTAACTGAAGGTGGAATGTTATAATCCTAATTCTGTTTAATGTAGTAGAGGTCACAACTTTCTTTTTAAGCATTCTCTCTATCAGCCTTCTTGATACGTTATCCCAAAGTCTGTGTCTGTTTGCTCTTTTAACACTGTCTATGTAAGCTGCTTTAATGCATTAGTTAGAATCATTTAGGTTATAAAAGACCTTCAAGATCACCAAGTCAACCATCACAGATTGATCACTGAGCATGATTTGATCACTGAGCATGTACCAATCCTCTCAGCGAGTGTCAGATTTCTTGATAGCATCTTTGTCTGTCTGTTGTTTTATGATAGTGAGGTGGGGTGGGGATTTTGCTATGTGTTATATTTTATTGTGTATGTAGCAGCACCGCTTTCTGTATAGAAGCATGTTCTCTGCTGCAAGGAGTTGACAACCTAGGAGGGAGGGGTTGAGTTGTGATGCTCATATTGCTGGTAAAATCAAAAAAAAAAAAAAAAAAAAAAAAAAACCCTAAAACCATCAAAAAAAATTAAAACCATCAAAATGGTTTGCAGCCCATTGCAGAGGCAGAGCTGTCAGCAGCACTGGTGCTGATAGCACTTTGCTGATATCACCAGACAAAGAAAAACAAGCAGGCAAAATCTCTTGCAGATCCAGGTCTAAGTAGTGATGCAAAGAAATTTGGTGCTGTTTGGCAAGGACATTAGGAAGACAGGTTGGGAAAGAAAATGCCTTTCAGAAAAGCTTCTCTGTCCTGTTATTAGAAGCCAGCATCTACTTTTCTCAAATTATAAGCTGGAGTAAAAACAGCGGAATCGATAGTGCAGGGAAACAGTCATTCCACAATCAGCAGTAGGCAGCAGTGTGCAAATGGGGATGACTTCTGGGAAAAGCTGGGAGGAGGAAGAGGAAAATGATTGAGGAGGAAGCTTTCCAGGGAGAAAGTAAAAATACCGTGCTGGTTATAGTTTGTAAATGGGTTATTTCACAGCATTTGTCCTCTTTTAAAGGAAGACTAAGCTTTCCAGTGGCTTATGAAATGTAGAGCATTGATGGTTTCTGGTTTTGTACGGTAACTTACTAGTCTGTAAGGAGAGAGTGTTTGTTTTTTTTTTCTGTTAAATTGAATTGTTGACTTACTAGTCTCATGTGATGGGTGGTTTAAGTGGAAGAGACCAGTACTCTGAGAAAACCAAGGCAAACAAGTCATTCCCGGGATAGTATTAGAAGAGAAATCTTTTAAAAGTGCCTATAGTAATAAAACATGTTCAGTTTCTTGGAAGGTTCTGCATTTATGCCTCTTGAGTGCTCTTGAAAAGCTTCTTCCATGTGCACCACATTAAAGATGTGCACAGTTTTGACATCTAAATGTGACCATGTGAGTGTTAGAACAGTAGAGAGAACTTTAGGTATGTAATACAAAGTAAGAAATGATAGCGCAGTTTAATGAACAAGAACCATTCCTTCAGCTTCCTACTCTAGTATCAGAATTTCATATCTGCAATATTATTTCTTCTGTTTACCTTTGAGGTTTCATAAACTGTCTGAAATGTAGCCTTCTTAGATTGAATGTCTTTCTTCAATGAAAAAGCAGCACTGGTTTAGAGTGTGCCTGTCTAGAGCCTGTGTTTTTTTACGGTTCTTTTTGCCTGTGTCATTTGCAATAGACATTTCAGTGCTTTTAGGAATGAAAAGAAATAAAATCACAAATTACAAATACTATAAAACAGTAGTCCTTAGGCACATTAAGCTGAGTATTACAAAGCAAATGAATTTACACGATAAGATATAAATGCCCAAGGTGTAAATTACAACTGTTGACTCAACTAAAGACTTACTCAAAGTTTATTTAATTGTATTATCATCATCTTTATCCATGAGAGAGGCTGTTGACTTCAGCTCCCAGGCTGTGCAAGTGGTTACACAGCCTCAGACCCTTACAGGCTGCTAACTCCTTAGTACAAATTGCAGAATTGTGACCAAACATTGCTTAGAGCAGCTACAGGGTCCCATCACTGCAGGGATACGTGTTGTGACTTTACTTGACTTAAGTTATTAAATGAATTGGAAGGAAGAAACCTAATGCCATAGGCCAAATATCTCTCTCCTTCAGATCAATTGCTCTGCTCTGGTTCTCTGTTACGGAGGAAGATGACATACTGACCTGATCGTGCCTTCCGTGGGCACTTCTAACTGCCAAGTAAAATGAAAAACAACCACTTTATTAGGAAAGAGGTCCACATGCACCTGATTTTCATTCAGCTGAACCTAACCAAGAATGAAAATCTCAATTCTGAGCACTACTGAGCTTTAGGATTTAAAACATTCAGATAGATGTTTTATTTCTTCAGTATCATCTCCATTAACGTTACTGCTTGAATGAAAAGGAAAACATCCTTAAATGACTACCCTGTACTTAAATATCAGTTGCAGATTTCAACTTTTCATCAGACCTTCTGGGGTAATAACCATCGTTTTCATTTGTTCTTGCAGGTTCCTACCAGCCAAAAGAAGGAAGGTGTTTATGATGTGCCAAAAAGTCAACCTGTAAGTGTAAGTATCTTCACTATTTATATGCAGTCAAGAAGGTATGTTTCTTAGCTTCTGTGACTTTCATTATTGTATGCAGTGTTTGGTACATTCCATGTGATGTCTATTTCATCAGTGATTTGCTATTGTTGGGTTGGTTCAGGGTAACCAGGGTTGTAATGTCATCTATATCCATCTCATTCATTACTTAGATCTCCTCCTTTCTGTCTTTTCTGATTGATTCTTCTGGAAGTCACAGTTTATAAATGTGGTGTCTGGTTAAGAGCTGACAGTGAGCCTTCTGCATGTTAATACATGAATCTTTGCTGTCTGGATCAGAAGTGTTATTCTACTACCCGAAGCTACACAGGGCTTATCACCCTCTGTTTTTGCTTCAGTCACATAGCACACGTTGACTGAGCATGGCTGTGTTTTCTCTCCTGTGCACTCATTCAGACCCATACTTTATATGCTGTGCTCCTTACAGCTTGTTTTAGTAGAACAGCAGGGGAAGGAAGGTCTGAACGGACTGGAGGCTGAGAGAAGTAGCATTAGGAACAGCTATGTCGGAACGTTTTGTATGACCTCTGCAGTTGCTTTCTGTAGCTATCATGTCTGTACTTCTCAGAAGGCTTCCTTGTGAAAACAACATGCAAGTAGGCAAAGATTTCAAAAGCAGCTTCAAATCATATGTTACAAAACATTGCAAATTTGCATTGGAATTACTCTTCTGTCATTTGAAAAAACTTATATAAAAATTCTGCCTAACATACACCATGGAAAAGCAATTATTTTTCCAATAAAACCAACTTCTATGGTAGCTTAGTGTTACGAGAGCTGTACAGTTGTAGGGTAGAGATACGTGTAATTGCAATTGGTTTAAACAGCCATGAGAAACTCTGAAAGGAGCTACTACTCCAAGATTGTGTGTGAAAACACCTCGCTCAACAAATTCCTAAGTGGCAGAATCTTTGCTGTAAGTAGTGCATTGCTTTGTTGGTTATTAGAGGCTGTAGTCAGCATGGAGAGATTTCCTCCCAGTTTTGCTGTGTTGTTTCTGTAGTGCTCAAAGTATTTAACAGGTTGAGTATCAATGAAGGCTGGAGACTGAATTCTTTCTGTTCTATGCCTTGCATGGACAGTTGATTTTGTTCAAAAAGAAGGGTAAAATACACTGTTCTATCCAAATGGCACCATTCCCTCTCTGAGTATGAGCATCTAGAAGTGGTAAAACATTGATCTCCAGAATGCGTAAGGAATGGTAACAAGTGGCTGAGAGGAGAAGTGCAATAACAGATGCCTGAGCAACAAGGCATACATTTGCTGAAGGGTGGGTTATGTTGTTTAACACAAATTTAGGCTATAAGTGAAACAATACCTTGAGGAACTGTATAATTGCTGTTGGTTACACAGCATATCCGTATTTCCGAGGATTTGTGTGAGAATGGAGAAGAATTGAGGCAAGGGTCAGGAATTTTAGTTTTCTGTAAGCATCAGAAAAATGCCTGTGTTCAAGGGAGAGAAAGAAAGGCTCTTCTCACATAAGGATATGGTAAATTGCACAGCTTGGGCTGAGCACAGAGACTGAGATGCCAAATAAAAAAGATAAATGCTGGGGAGGGGTTGGATGGGGTCTGAATTGTGACACTTCTGTGGTTTGCACAAACAAACAAAACTTGCCATAAATATTTCATGATAATCCACTAGGAGGAGGGAGCCATCATCTTGTTGGCTGGGAAAATGTAGTAAGATAACTCACGTTGCATAGCTAATTAAGGTATTTGTGGACCAGGAATAGCTGTGGGTTTTTCACTCATTTCTCATGTAGCTCAGTGTTACAATTTTTCCTCTGCACATTTCCAGTGACTTTTTTATTATTCCTTCAGTGATGTTTCAAATTTACTCTGGGTATAGTCTGTAATTTAGGTCGTTGCAATATGACTGTGTGTACAGTACACTTGCAATCATGTCTGCAGACACTTTGGTATTAGACTGTCCTGGTAAAGAGCATGGCTGTGAGATGTAAGGCATATGGGACCTACTCTGTAATCATCAAATATACTTAATCTGTCATCTCCATGAAGCTTGTTGCAGACTTAATTTTTTGTTTTTTTCTTGGTTATATTTAAAGTGATTAGACCTTTTTCTCAAAACAAGTTGTCTACTTTAGTTTATAAAGGAAAAAATAAAAAAAAAGGAAGAGGGAGAAATGTGTAGCAGAGATTTTGTTTCACCTTTTTATATTAACATGTATTAAAAAAAAGAAAAGCAGCAATCGCTCTTAAAATTAGCAATTTAATATTCCACTGCCCATCTGATTTATGGCTCACCCTTCCACGTGTGAGACTCTTTGTCATTGAGACACTTGCCATAATTTTTTTTTCAATTTATAGCTGTCCTTATTATATAAACCTCTAAAATTCAATCTGAGGGCAAATAATCTAGCTCATCTGCCTGGTTTAAACTTAAAAGGACACTTTCTTTATCAGGAGATCTTGCTTTCATTAATTTCATAATGGATGAAGGGAGAGAAACTTTTTGCAGCTCCTAATAGGTTTCAGGCACCATGAATTCTCTCCTGTGACAATAAATACAACACTTAATAAAAATGCAGCAAGTTTTGCTTGAGTTCAGACTGAATTGCCCACGTTCCCTAGACAGAGATCGATTTTCCATCTTGGGATTGTTTTCCTCTGGTGTGTTCTCAGACAAATTATCCCTAGCCTCAGCACGTAAAAGTGAGGGATACTGAGCCAGTCATCTTGGGGCCCTCCACCCTTGTTGCTCAGTAGCCAGAGGAGAGAAATAGGTTCCTTCCAGGGGGATTTCCTCCTGTCTGTGTCAGTCTCTTGTGGCTGCGGAGGGACTTTAAAGGACGTGAAGGAATAACTTGACTTTTAGATAGTTAGACATAGGTGGGATGAGTCCTACTATGCTGTAAAAATTAAGAGCCAGAATCCCTTTCTCAAAGGTTACTTTGCAACTGGGAGGTGTGATTCACGCTGATTCTCAACAAGATGTAGCTTCCTATGAAACCAGGACCGGTTTTGGCAAATGTTGCTTTCTTTGTGTGGGGGGACCCCACTGTGGCTGAGGGTATGAAGCATCTTTTGTGGTGGTGTCAAACAGACGTACATGACACCACATACGGGTCAAGATGGCGGATGCACTGACACGATGCCGGGCGGTTGTGGGAGGCCGCTCATCAGAAGGTGTCCAAGGGCTTTGTAGCGAGACTCCTCGTAGTCACCGTGGGATCTCTGATACCAAGTAGTGTAAATATGGTGGAAATAAGACGTAAAGGAATGGGGATCTTAGAACCTGAACATACCATTGAACTCAGGAGCGACAGCTGGTTGGCCAGTCACCTCTGATGCTGGGATGAAAAGATTGCTTACTCGATACAATTTCTATATTTCCCTGCTTCTTTGCTGCTTTCCTTCCCAGAAAATCCTACTCTTCTGGAGATTTCTTCTGTAAGGAGCGCAGCTTAGCTCCAAACACACCCTTTTCATGCTTTCCAGTTTCCTTTCAGTATTGGCATCCCCCTTGCTCTCTGTATCATCAACTCACTCTTCTTGTATTCATTCCCATTTCTCTTTGTTCCTTCCTTAGATAAATTCTCACATTCCTCATTCACTGAGAGTAGACATCAAACAGATAAAGAAAGCAAGCTTACCCCAAAGAGCTTGTGTTAAGTGGTACATGCTCCACTTGGAAATTGTAGCTCTGTATGGGAAATTAACTGTTCTAAAAAAGTGAAATGTTTAATGAGCTCTTTTTGTCATAACTTCCAATCGTCTCCCCATTATACATACGCATCGAGTTCTACCTGTCATGGTGTTTTTAGTAATAAGAGTCAGACTGTAAATACCTTTCACTGAGACTGTCAGTCACATCACAATAAAACCTTATCTTCTCATCAAAATGTCTAAACTATCTGCTTACGATTTTATGAAGGCTTTCAAACAACTCATCTTACTGCTATATAAAGATTCAAAGCATTATAGCTGATGCCTCACGGTACAGGCAGTCATTTGGCTGGTGCCATCAGTGTGGTACTGCTCACAGACCAGCATGGAATGGGCAGGGAGTAATTGGCTTAGGGTAATTGGCATGGGAGGACCATCAGCCTCCACAGGAGGATACATGCTGGACCTGAGCCCACCCAGGTCTAGGAACCACAAGGGCTGCCTGACCCATCTGCCCCACCTAAGAAGCTGTGTTTGGAAGAGCTCTGTTTTAATTCTGGCTTTAATTCTACAGTGCCATTTGCAGGTCTGATTTTTCAGGTCTCATCTCTTAGGAAGCACTGCCTGCAGTCATCTGGAAGGCATGGGCAGCCCCAGTCTCCAGCAGCTCACGCAGAAAGTTTGTCCCTGGATTAATGGTATCCCAAAACGTCTGGCAATAAAGCAGTTCAAGCAGCTCTCCAGATCACTCTGACCATCCTCCAAAAACTGAATTCTTTCTGTGACAGTTGGTGTGGAGAAAAGCTTAATAACTGTGTCTTTTCCATACGTTTGCATCAGTGGCTTTACAGAAACAGCTTGCAGCTTGGTGACATTCTTCAGCCATTAATTTCAGCCACTGCTTGTCAGCGTTAGGCTTTCAGGATCCATTTTTCTTATAGGAAAAGAAAGAGATTGCACAGACCAGTCTCTGGCCATCTGTGTCTACAAAGCCTTCCATTTCTGCTTCCCTTTGCTGAGAGACTCTTGTGCTCAAATACCCTGCCTCAGTTACATTCAATCCAATCCCTTGTATGAGGCTTCACATTGCAATGTGGGGCATGCTTTTTTAACAGGTACAGCTAGTTGTGGCAAAGTTTGAAAATACATTAGTTATGATAAGGATTATTTTTTTTTTTGGCAGGAGTTTCTTTGATGGAGGGCATTTGCTGTTGTTGTAGGTAGAAGTGGCTATACATACATACCCATGGAGTAGTCATTGCATTAACTGCTCTGATTTTGTGCAGAACTGGGAACATCTCAGTGCTCCTCCTGCAAGTTTTCCTTTTGTTTTAACACCAATAACTTGAGGTGGAAACCTGGCCGAGGCTACCACTGAAGCTGAGCCAGCTACAGCAAGCTGTTGGTCCCTGCTTTTCCTGCTCAGACACCTTTCTTCATGCTGAAATGGAATTCAGTGCAGGCTGGCCATTGCCACTGTATCAGCTGAAATGTTTTGGTATTCCCCTTTGTTTCTAGTTTAATGTAGAATGGAAAAATATGTTTCATTTTAATATCTTTGCATTGCATCTGCTGCATACAATAAATTGCACCGTGTGGATTTTGGAGAGGATGTGGAGGAGGTGTCCTTGTGGTTGGGACCCTGCACCAGCACCCTCAGTGCTCTGGGACTTCAGTTATCCCGGGTGCTGGGGTGGCTGCAAGCAGCATGGTCTGGCTCCAGGCAGGAGTCACCCTTCTGGACTCTTGATTTATTAAAGCCTGTCAGAGAAAACAGGGAACTGAAACATTTTCCATACTATTTCCTTAAGAGTAAATACCCAAGGTACGCAGGGAATTCAGAATTAAGTTCCCTTCAAATGAGAAGAGAAAATAAGCGCGAACACGTGTGTTTTGATCATATGAAGAGATCCTTAATTTGAAGGAGGCTATCAAGTAGCAGTGAAACAGTTCTTCAGTGTATTGTCCTTAATGAGGAAGGAACTGCGCACTTCTTTGTCGAGATATCGTGTTGCTCCATTAATCCAGCAGTACTTTTATGGGAAAACGATGCGTCTGCTGGTTATTTTCAGTGTGCCTCAACCTGCTAGCTGTGGTTTGACTGATTATTGGTTTACTCACAGTTCTGCTGTGCTCCTTCGTTATAGTTCTAATTGTTTTTTTAAGAATGAATTATAGTTAATTAGCAAGCTGCTTGCAGCTCATGGAGCTCGTGGTGATATCAGGATTCCTTCTGTATAAGGTTGTGCAAATAACTGAAGCTTTACTGAATTAAAATAATGGTTTGAGCCATCGGAAAAAATATTTGACATAGCCAAAATATTTACATTTTCCACTAAAATAAATAAATAAATAAATAAATAAATAAATAAATAAATAACAGGTTTAATGTTAACCCTGTGACTTGTCATTAAACTTTCCATTCCCCCCAACTTTTCCAGGGGGAATGCAGAGAAGCAGCGTGGCTGGATGATCCCTGGGTGAGCCCGCTTTTGTATACGGGGCCAAGTCCTAGGGCTCTTACCCTGACTGCAGGAAAACAAGTGTAAATCCCTCTGCTATCTTAAAAGACTTGAATAGCTAATAGCCAACTCAAAGGTTAATTACTAATTGCTGGTTAATTACTATATTTAGTATCCTACATACTCTTTTTAGCTTGCCGAGATCTGTATCAGAGTGCAAGTTAATTACTGTGTCTATTTTTCATGTTTTTGAGCACCATCTCTGCATAACTCTCTGAGATTTCAGAAATGTGTTTTGTGAGACACTGCTTTTGTCGTCTCACTTGCAAAAGTACAGCAATATTAAGCAGGTTTTCTCCTGCTGTAAGTTAGTGTTGATCCATCGCCTATGGTAAAACCAGGCCGAGTACCAGAAGTTGGCTATTCTGGCTCTTACATAGATAGGACCGAACCAAGTAAGGTGCTTCTCACTCTTAGAGCCATACGCCTCTCTTAGATTTCTCTTTGCAAATCCAAACTTTCACACTGCTTAGAAAAAATTTTTCAGAGTAGTCGGCAATCAGAGGGAATACCGCAGTGGAGGTGGATCATTTTCGGTTCAGGTTTATGAAGGCTGCAGTTTATTTACCTCTTATCAGAGCTTTTTCCCAGCTCTTGGATTATATATTTTTCTTTACTGAACAGTGAAAAGCATCATGAGGAATTTCATTACTGGCTGGAGTGGTTTAAAAAGCTTGCTGCTGCTTTAAGAAGCCAGATTTACATATTTCATGTTTAAAAGATTTACGCTGTGTCTCACATGCCTATATAGAAAGACGGAGCTTTCATTACAGGTTTAACGTCACCAAGATACAAGGATTAATTGTCTTTCCTCCACCTCGGTCTATGCAGCTGGTCGCAAACCACTCATGTTCCTGGCTGCCTAAGCTGTAGGGGTGTTCTCACATTCAAGGAGATGCATTTGTGAATGATTAAGAAGCTTTTACATCACTCTCTGGCAAAACCCACAGATGGCAATTCTACAGAAAGATCAAGGCCTGGAGCATCTTCCCAGGCTTCTGGTTGCTTAATATTGTGCCCTGAAGGAAGAGGGAGCGGGAGCTTAACTTGAATTGTGAAAGTTAAGCTCTTTGCATTGAAAAGCCCAACCGGAGGACGGCTCAGAGGCCAAATTCTGCCCTCAGTAAGCCTTCCAACCTCGCCAGGGTTGCTGGTGAAGGCAGTTCAATTCTCTGGAAGACGCAGGTATTTCACCCTCAGGAGATGTCCCCTCATGGGTATTTCACTCTCAGGAGGTGTCTCCTCAGCAGCGTGTGACGCAGGCCGTGAGCTGAGGGAAGAGGCAGCCCAATGCGTCACGGTAATCGGGCACTCGGGGGTGCACCAGGACACATCGGGCACATGTTTTCTGCTAGGTCCTGTGGCACACAGGTGGGAATTTCTGATGGCCCATTCTGATATGATTGCTGCTCACATGTCCCCTCCGTGTGGAGCCGTGGTTGTTTCCCTGCTGGTTCCCCAGAGCCATCGGGGTGGCTGGGGGGTGCAGCGAGGGCACAATCTGCTTCTTCGGGAACTGTGGTGGGAGGGAGGATAAAAGGGAAAACATTCTGGGCTGTTCCTGAGACTTCTTAGCTTGTTTTAAATTTCTGTGAAGCTACTCAGTCATCTAAGGTTCTATTTTCCGTAATTTGCTGTTGTGTTTGTTTCTTAAGAAGTTAAAATCTCTAACACTTCTGTAAGTGTTGTCTGAAATTTAGCATTCTGAGGACACTTGAGTCATTATTGATGTTAAATATGTAGATGGATATAGATACATATGTATGTGTGGGCACATGCACAGTAGACACATACATTTTACACATACATACAAACAGAATTTAAACATCACTTGAATTGACTTATAGTAATTTAAATTTAAAAGTAATTTTAAAAATTGCTACGGAAAGGAAACTTGCATCTTAAATATAGATGCAAAAAAGAGGAAGCTGTGTTTTTCCAGAAGTATGTGCTTTTAGAGCTTTTGTTGTCGAAAACTTTTTCTTTTTTTTCCCTCTGAGTATGTTAAGTCCTTCCTTTCACCAAGCCACTGACATGTTCCAGTAACATAAGCAGGATCAGACCTCACTGTGGATGCTTATTGTTGAAATAATAAACATCTGAAAAAGTAAATAGTTATGATGCAAGCACTGACATTGTTGTATGCACCAGAAGACTAGATTTAGCACAGATAAAGTGTATGTTTGCCTGTTTGCCTCCATATCCTAGCAGCATTTAAACTCACCTTTTTGACTGTGATTTCATATCTGTACTCACTGCAAGATTGAAAGGGTTTTCATTTCAACAGTGAAGTCAATAATTATGGAGGTTATCATTTTCATGCTCAGAAATTCATGTCATTTTCATAAATCATTCATTTCATTTCATAAATCATGCTTTACAGCTGGAGAATGGAAACTTATTGCTGGACATTGATGAAAATCTTGTTTCAGTCACTCAGGTAAGGTCGTGGCACTAAAAATGTTTTAAGGAAATATAGATAAAATCAGCTATAGGAATAGTGCAATTTGAAAATGTTCGGCTTGGGATTAACTTCACTAGGACATAGCTCATATCAGATGTGAATAATTCAAAAAAATATAGTGGGTGCACTCAGTTCTGTAGTGACACTGAAATTACAAAAGTAAAAGATGGTGGCTGGAATCTCATAAGCTGGAAATGGATAAAACTGTGTGTCAGAGGGGTTGTGTGCATTTACATGGGCTGGGAACTGGGTTGTAGAAGCAAGCTAGACGCAGAATCAGATCTAAACCATTTGAGACTTTAAAATCCCACCTCCAAGTGCTGCTGTTTAAGGTCTCTAGTAAGTAAATTAGCTCCTGTTGCATATAAAGTAGCTATTTGGTGAGACATAATCCCCCTGTAAATATATTCATTTTCCTTGGGGAATATTGTGAACAAGGATTTATCTTATTACAATAAATACCAAAGTCAGCTCTGATATCACTCTGTTCAGCTGCCTGTTTAGAAATCCATCAGCAGAGTTTCTTCCAAGAGCTTTAACAGAATTATTTCTGTGAAGGATTTCCCAAGATCCATCACCTTGGAGCACTTTAGGAAGTATTATTGTTCTATTTCACAGAAGTATTGAGGCAGAGAGATCTGAGTTTCCTCCTTCTGAGTGCATACCATATAATCCTGAATTCAGAAGTATATTCGCAATCCATTTTCAGAATTGATACAAAATGCATGGTGTTTTTCCCCAAACGACCTATAAGTAACGGTCTGTGTAACCACATGTGCCCTGCACTTTCTCACCCCTTCTGATCAGCTCTCCTGCTCCCTGACCTGGGGTGGAAACTCGGCGGGAGCCTTTGCTCGTGGCCTCCTCAGAAGGACGGAGGCTATTTCGTAGCGAGTCAGAGAGGAGGGTACTGGGGACAGCTCTGTAGAAAGCTTCCTTGTGCAGCAAAAGAGCAGCTTAAGGACTGCTGCTGAACGAGTGATTTGGAGAGATGAGAAGAAAGTGACCTCTTCTGTGATGCGGTGTCACTTAGCATCTCTTGAATCTGTAAAGCCTACAGGAGGCTTGAAGTGATTTCGGAAGGAATGCTGCTGTTGTCATTATTCCCACTTGTCTGGGCATTTTCACAATGCTTGCCTAGTGTGTGCACACTACAGAAGTGACTTACGGGCCTTTTCTGTTTTTGCAGAAGTTACTTCCAGCAGTATTTTAGTAATACACTCTAGAATCGTTATGCCCTGAAGAAAATGTAGATTTTCTTCATTTTTCCTCCTTCCATCTCCACACAGATACTTCCAGGGATATATAGGCTCATAAGAGGAAAATATATTGTCATATCACTAAAGCAATGTGATCTATTTAATGCATGGCATGAGGTGAGAAAACATGAAATAATTCATCCCTAGGTATGTTATTAGACGTAAAGTTGCGAATCATCCAAGCTGCTCTACAAATTCCAGGTGAAAGTGATTGTAGCATTGCTTTTGTAAATGGGAATAGAGATTGGATTGCAAAAATGTATAAACCTTTGAAATTACTACCTTCTGAATGATAGTCTAATTTCTTGAAAGATCATTTATAATAGAAAATGGGGAGGAAAAAAGTCTTTGGGTGCTTTTTCCCCTTAGGCTGTAAAGCTGTTACAACTGATGAGCCAGCATGGTGGTTAGCAGGAGGGCTAAGTTTCAACTAGGTTTGCAGATCAAGACAGATGAATTTCAAGCCTGTATGTGATAAGGATGTAAAGTTTGTGTGCCTAAGTTGAGTTGGGATTCAATGAACTGAGTTAAGCTGTGCATTAAATCCCATTCATAGCAAGAATTCTGCCTTCCCGTGGATATGGGTATGACTGAGTAGAATTCAGGGGAGGTGGAAAGCCTGTAAGCAGAAGAAAGGTAGGGGAGTAGTCGTCCTTGGTAAGGAGGGTGGATGGATTTTAGGTTTCCTGTGGAGTTTTGAGGGATCCATGCTTTAGTGGCAGATGGAGAGCAGCACTTAGGGAGAGCCCCCAGCTGGAGGGGACATCATCCTGGGCGTGTTACTGCTCCTGCTGCCTTCCACCCAGATCTGTATGTGGGCATGCACAGACCCTGTGCTTATTCCTCACCTTATGGTTCAGCCACGAGCTGCTTTCTAGTTGTGAAAATTGGCCACACTCTGTAGCTGTCCCTGTAGTGGAAAACCCCATTACCTTAATCAGCAGTGTTTGTTAAAATAATGGCTAGAGGAGGGGTGCTGGAATCAGGCTGTCCTGAAATGGACCCTTGGAAAGTAAAACATCCCTATAGGGGTCCTTCAGATTGTTATATGAACCTTAATTAATATCTCACTCTAATTTATAGTTAGAATATGAGGTCCTCTGTCCCAGCAGCTTGACAGGGTGGTGAGGTAACGCGTGCAAGGGAACAATTTATTCCAGAGCATGTGAAGGAGGTTTGATTATGAAGCCACTCAAGGTGCTCCTCATTATCAAAGTGCTTTTTCCCTGCTGGTCCAGTTGTGTGAGACCTGTATGGATGACCTAATTTGAGATCAAACTGAAGGATGCCCTTAGAAAACATTGCCAACGTGAGTTAAATGTAGAGTTACAAACTTAAAATAACCCAGTTCTATATCCTCCTTCAAGTCCACTTATCCAGGTCACACCTGTCCCATGGGCAAGGGGAAATCAGGCAGCGCTTTAAAAGTCCTTCCCTTCTGTACCCTTCTGTCACTTCTTCAGTTTGCTACTGGGTTTTAAGACCTTGAATTGGGGATTTAGAAAAGGAGCCAGGGAAAAAGGTCTGCCTATAAATCATGGTTGGTGTTTACTGATGTTAAGGGCAGAGCAATAATGCATCTGGTCCTATTCGGAATAGCTTTTTCACGCTTCATTTTTTAGGGGAGAGAATTCCCCATATGATCATTTTATAGGGTCGGTTGCCACCTATTTAGGTCCAGCAGCAGTATAAAAAACCCACAGCTTGAGCCCATGTGCTTCCTCTATATGGGACTGGACATTTGAAGCCTACGTGGCTTTTTTATTTATTTATACTGATAGCTGTAACTAGTTAACTTTACAAGTTATTGCTAATTAACTTGTACTTTCTTCTCCTCTAGAGATAAATAGAAATGTTATTTTATCTTTACAGGCTGTTACCCAACTAGAGCTTTTTGGGGACATGTCCACTCCTCCTGATGTAACCTCTCCCCCGGTAAGTAACCAGGGAAACTGAACGGTGTCTTTTTCTGCATCCTATTTTCAGCACATTTATTGAGCACATTTACAATTCAGGTCATTGGCCCTTGCAGCAGGGAGGATTTCAAAGTAGTTCTTATGTTGTGAGAAAATAAAAGTGAAGCAAATTGAATGTGGAATCACTGCTTCTTGAAGAAGTGCAAAAATATCTTCAATTTTTATTTATCTGATATAGGGCTAGGTGTCACATAAGATATAATCTGAACTGCAGATCTCCTTCCCTGGTGTTTATCAGAGCTGCATGCTTCACTGCTCTCTGTCTTGAACTCCCTGTCTCTCCACTGCACTGCAGGAAGATCCAGTTACAGCCTTATATATCACGTCTCCTTGGTTCCACCAAGCACACATCCCAGGACTGCTGTTAAAGGAGGGAAGACAAAAGAGTGGAGAGAGGCAGGGCTGAATGTGTTTTCGGCAGAAAGATTTTTCTCACCGGGCTTTTCTGCAGCACAGAATGAAAACTGTTATTTTCCCATTATGTTTTTGAACCATACTTTAGGCTGTAGGGAATATGAATATTCAGAGAAAATTGAGGTGCTGGGAAGTCACCAGCCTCAAATCTCCGAGGTATTTGGGGCCGTGTCTGGGACTAGATTTTCAAAGTCCTGTCTCCTCATCCTTAGCTTGCTCAATTACACTGTCTTTCTCCCTTAATGTAGACCTATGGCTCTGGTCCTGTCGGTTAATTGGAAGCAATATTTATTCACCTTTCCATAAATCTTGCAGATATTTCATTTGCCTTTATTTATTTATTATTATTTTTTTACATTAATGCCTAAGTCTGTAGCTTATACTGGTTGTCACCTAACACCTAGAAGCACAAGTCTATATGTTGTAGAGAGAAAAATCACGTCAATATTTGCATGAAATGTAATCCAGGGAAATTTTGTTTTTATTTTTCCCCTGGTACAAAGTCTCTCTCATTTTCTTTTTCTCCTGTCTCCAGCACATTGTAACACTCTATTTCTACTGCATCTCTACTGCATCTTTCCATTTCTACTGCATCTCTACTGCATCTTTCCATTCTTTTTCCTTTCTCTTTTTTTTCTCTGCAAAACTGTGAGCCACAGAGAATGTTTAGCATTCACAGCAAAGTATGTGCTGCAGAAGCTGCAGCTGACATGTCATTGCTGTGTTTTATTCCTGCCTTACTGCAGACTCCTGCTACTCCAGGTGATGCCTTTATCCCATCTTCATCCCAGTCACTTCCTGCTAGTACAGACATGTTTGGTTCTGTACCTTTCAGCACTGCTGCCGTACCCTCAGGTAAGAAATCTACTGGAAATATGGGCTTGACTCAAATTTGGTCATCAGTTCTCAGGTCAGGCTTGCATTTTAGTATTTGTCATTAATTCAGTGCATTGGAAGTGGGAAGGATTTTGAGGACAGTGCTGCAGGGCAAGGCAAAACAAGTCATTAACAAGCTGAGAATACATTATTTAGAATTTACCAACGTTATTAAAAGCAAAACCCAAAAACTTCAGTGGAAGTTCAACCATAGTTCATCCATCTGGATAACATACCTTCTAGGTACAGCAGCAAGAGAGAAAAAAGCAGTTAGTTTAGCTTTGGTTTCTTTGCAATTGTAACGAGCTTCCTGTGCTGTCTTCAGTAAATAGAGGATGAAACATGAAGAATTTGATTACATTTCAAAGATATTCCACTTAGTCAAATCCTGATATTTCCTCCAGACTTTTCTGCATTCCTCAAAGTGCTCAAAATTTAAAAACGATGTAACATTCTGCATGGGCACGCAAGAAACGTGGTTTTGACTGATGATCTCTCCTTGGGACACTCAGAGCACTGCGAGAACAGTGCTCTCAGCTCCACTTAGGAGGAAAAAGAAGGAGGAGTGCCTTGAATCATTCAACAGTGACTTTCTAATTGGTTAACTCCTTGTCTGATGCAGAATCAGATTAGCCACTGCATTTCAGAAAGGTTATTCAGATGGTGAAGTGTTCAGGGATAATGTTAGATGAGAATCCCTCGCTGCTACCACGAGGTTACAGTGGGTGCAAGATAAAAGGGCACCTGGAAAATCCATCATAGCCACCTATCAAAATATGATGTGTTTCAAAGTTACTGTTCCTTTCATCACTCATTAATTTAGTCACATGAAGCTCTCTTTCTCTTTTTCTTGGGGCTCTCCTGAGCCCCAAAGAAGGGAGCTGCCAGGTCGCTGCTGATGAGGTCCTTACATATAGGTATTCACAGACACATGGGGTAGTCTCCCAGGAAGAAAAAAAAGCATTCTGTTCAGAGAAAGATTTTGCCAATATGCACCAACCCCTGTTTTTGTATACAAGTATTTGTTTATTAATATGAATTCAACCACATCTTTTTTTTTTTTTTTTTTTTTTTAAGTGTGCTGAAGCTCTGGGACCACTAATGTAGCTGCGTATTTCTGATTTACTGTGTAGTTTTTTCTGTGTGCTCTTGACATTATCATAATTTTTTTTCCTGCTTTCTTTATTCTTTGAAGGTTATGTTGCCATGGGAGCTGTTCTGCCCTCGTTCTGGGGACAGCAACCACTTGTTCAACAGCAGTTGGCCATGGGTGCTCAGCCTCCAGTTGCTCAGGTGATGCAGGGAGGACAGCCGATAGCGTGGGGCCAACCCGGTATTTTTCCTCCTACTCAGCAACCGTGGCCATCTGTAGCTGGTCAGTTCCAACCAACTGCCTTCATGCCAACACAAACTGTTTTGCCTTTACAAGCAGCCATGTTTCAAGGTACCATTGCTCCTATAGCTACTGTTCCACCCACAAGTGATTCCAACAGATCAAGTCCACAGACAGACAGGCCCAGACAGAAAATGGGAAAAGAAATGTTTAAAGATTTCCAGATGGCTCAGCCTCCACCAGTGCCATCAAGAAAACCAGATCAGCCTTCCCTCAGTTGTACCTCAGAGGCCTTCTCAAGTTACTTTAACAAAGTTGGGATGGCACAGGAAGCAGATGATTGTGATGACTTTGACATCTCTCAATTAAATTTGACTCCTGTGACTTCCACGACACCATCAACAAACTCACGTGAGTACTCATATCCTTTCTACCATAACTTCCCTCAAATGTGGCTGCTCCTCAAAGCATTTTACATTTCATATAGTAAATTGCAACACAAATATGGACTGAGAACCCTTATGCATGGTCTGGCTTATTAAAAGTGATCCAGCCATAAAGAAAAGTGCTACAGAGATCATTGAAATCAACAGCCCCAATAGTCTCAGTCTGAAATTTAATTGTTTATATGACAGTAATATATGTGCTATCCTAGGGACATGCAAGCTGGTTGGAAAATGCCTATAACATTCAAGCTTACAAATGGTTTCTCGTATGTCCCATTCAAGCCATACTCGGTACAAATTAGGAGATGAGTATTTATTCTAATAGCTTGATGTACTGAACATGCAGAGAAATTCATTAAACAGCTGTAAAATAAGCTTATTGTGGTCATAGCATGAAGACGGGATTTTGCAGATTTCTGAAAAGGAATTCATGAGGCAGATTTACCAGAGGCCACTCAGAGACGTTATGTTTTGCTTACCTGCCATAGGGCAGGCAACTCATGCATTCTTAATGTAATGTTGTGATGTCTCCCTGGCTTCCTAAAGACATAAGCCAGATGCAGCCAAACTTAGTTTGGAAATCGCTGAATGAAATCAAACTTGCAGAATGGATAATGACTTCTGTTTAAATTTACCTCTTACAGCTTTTTGCTGAAAATAGTTTTCAGTAAGTTGAGGGCTCTAAAGCATGAGCAAATTTTGTGCTGCTGTGTCCCTCTGAACTAATTAACAGATATCTATTCTATGGCTGTTACCTTAATCTTTGTTTAGCTCCAACCCCTGCACCCAGACAGAGTTCTCCATCAAAATCATCAGCATCTCATACCAGCGACCCTGCTGCAGATGACCTCTTTGAAGAGGGATTTGAAAGCCCAAGCAAAAGTGAGGAGCAGGAGGCTGTGAGTAACAACAAGGCTTCTAAATACTGATCACACTTCTTAGCTAGAAAGGAGAGAGAAGTTACTTAAATGTTGTTTGGTAGTCTCAGAAATAACTATTCTAATAGGGCAGGGTGGAATTTAAAGGGGAGCTGTAGACGGGACTCCCTTACAGGTTTGATTTTGATAGCTGACAACATCAGCATGGTGTTTGTGCTGATACAGCCTAATACTGCATGTGAGGAACCAAACTCAGAATTCATATGTAAAGCTGTGTATGTTATCTGTGTACAATGCCCTTTTTGGCATACCAGCATTCACTTACAGATGGTAAGGGAGTCCCAGGTAGAATGACATACGTGCTGAGGATGCAGAAAGAGATAAGAGAGGTTGTGTGTTAAAAGATGATGGTTGACACTGTCTTGCACCTTCTGGCATCCCAGTTGCTTGCCTCGTTGCATTCCTCAATGTTCTGGCCCTTGCTATTTCTTTGCCTTAGTCTCAGTGAACCAAAGCAAGAAATGGTATCAAAAAGAGATGACTTTAAATCACAAGGTATCTTAGGCAGATAAGAGCCTAAGTGAACCAAAGGCAAGAAGGAGTCTGTACAAATACAGACCCAGAAGTACAAAATGACACAAGCTTGAACTCTTTCTGATTTATGTAGGTTCACAGCTTTTCAGGGCCTTTTGCAGTTCTGGTTTATCTAATCCAGTACCTTTGAAGTCTGTGGCATCTCCTGCATGGACTCCAACAGGTACTGGTGTAGTCTTTTCCTGCCTGCATCAGCTACAGAAAAACATTATGGCTTTTGAGAACGTATCAATGGTGAGGTCTCACTTTCTAGTTTTCATGAGATAGGATGTACTTGTTATGCCCACAGCATGAAAATAACCTCGTGTTGACTTTTCACTTTCTATTGTTGAGAAAAAAAGGTGTTATGTTCTTGTATTCTAGCCTGATGGGTCTCAGGCCTCATCCAACAGTGATCCATTTGGTGAGCCAACTGGTGATACTATAAGTCCACAGGTCGGTAGCTAGATAGCGCAGGTTGGGGTAGGTATCTGTCCTTTTTTTCTCTACACCCTGAGGTGCTCACTTATTCTTCCACCAGTGCCTACCATTGCTTTCATGGATGCATGGTTTGCTTTTCCTTTTCATCTCTTCCTTTTTTCCTCTCCATTATCCACGGTGTATTCCTCATGCTCAGTGGTTTGCATGGCTTTTGCCATTCACTAAGTGTTGCAACTTATGCAAATATGTGTTTCAGCTGCCTGCATGCTTTAAAGAAATGTAGACTTATTTTACTTTGTGTTCAAATTCTAAGGGGAAATAGGAAATTTGAGCCATTACTAACAGTATATTATGCAGAACATTTTTTTTTATTAAACCCAGTCTGGCCTTTAGGCAGATGTAACATATTAAGTGGAATAAGACATCTTACCCACAGACATAACAAACATTAAGTTAAATTATATAATGATACATGAACACCTCTACTCTAAATCAACGTATAAATCAGCAGAAGAAACAAATGTATTATCTGCATGTAAAAATTATTGAAATGGGTTTGTATATTTTTATCTCCAACTGCAAATTAAAAACATCTGAAAGTTATAATCCTTCATATTAGCATTGGCATACTGATATTTTCAAAATTACTCATCAAACGTAAGTCATTTAAACCCAGACAGAAGGGAAAGATGATCTTTTCATCTTCTGTGTTACAAAACACATTGAAAATATGGTTGCTTGTGAAGGTTTTGTGATTTGCTTCAATACAGTATATAAGTTCTACCAAAGAAACCATAAAGCTACAAATTTTTATGTCTGCTGAGCATTGTTATTCCATCCAAATACACTCTAGTGTTACTATTTGAAGGATACGTTTCATTATCTTCTCCCTGTCTGCCATTCATGGTTTGTATTACTCAAATACATGATCTGGTGCTGCTTCTGTGCTTCAGCACAGAGCTCCTGGAAGAAATCCATAACAAAGGCAGAACCCTTTTTATTTTTGTACAGAAATCACACTGTGTTTACCAGTGACTTATCTGCCCTGAGCCTAGGCAATCTGGTTTCAACTCAAAATTAATAGTTTCATTAGGAGTCGCTTTACTTTGTGCACTAAATATGGTTAAGAAAAAAGATCTTATGATAACTTAGCTTTGATCTACTTGGGGGTAATAAGATTATCTCTTAATAAGATACAGTGCCAAGAGAAGGCATCTCCCCCTTACTCAGCTCAGCTCTAAGGGGCTGAAGCAAACATAGCATTAAGCCTTGTGTCTCCTTGAGTCTAAAAATGACAGTATCTGGATATAGTCAAGCTAGGCTGACTCTATCCATTGGTTATAGTACTCCATCGAGAACTGCTTCTTGCAGATTGATGATGCCACACAGCAATTTGGCCTTGCCTTCGTCTGACCCCAGCCAGCACTGATGAAGCCAGCTATTCCAGCTTCAGAGTGTTTCAGGATTTCCTTCTTAGATCAAGAAAAAGGATATGACCTTTATCTGAATCCTACACTCTGCAAACCTACGTGCATTTTTTTATTATGGTTTATCATAGTTGGGATATTTCTGAAATTCATCAGAGGGAGAATAATGATAAAATCTCTTTCTAATTTTCTGACTGTCACAAAGATAGTTAGCATCATTTGTAAGCTAGCACCATGCACATTTGCCTATCAGGAGTTCTGGGAATAGCTTGTAACAGTGATTGAAGTCTGTTGATGCATACTACAGTGTAAGACAGTCAAGTGTGGGACACCTTTTGTTCTGTTTTTATATAACGCTTACTAAACTACTTTCTTCTACCTGTCAGGGGCCTCTGGGTGCTACAAGAACAATATTTTGCCGGTGACTCCATAGGGTGTTTTTTTCCTGTGTTTTCTGTTAATGCTTTTACAATCTTGCATCTATACAATCTATGTTATATATAGAGAGAGCTCAGAAATACATTCTGGGAAGTGTTAAATAATGCCATTGATTATGATATAGTAATTCCTAAGAGCAGTGGGCAGGAAGCGGAACAAGAAGAAGCATCTCTCCAGTGAATACACTGGAGATACACGAGCATCATTGTGCCTCAGTGCAGTGCCATCCAGCAGTCTGAGAGAAATCCACTTGCTGAAGCCAGCCCATCTAATTCTGCAGCCTGGTATCATGAGAGCAACGGAGACTCTAATCTCCATGGAAAACGATCAGTTCAGGACTTACTACTGGGTTGTGTATTGAGGCTGCATTTGGAGAGAAACGTAATGGAGAGAAGCATGTAGTACAAAAGAATCACAGCCTGCTTAAAAGCCACTTTTGTGTGCAAGATGGAGATTACTTGGCTCTTTCAGAACATGGTTCTTCACACCAAGAACACCACAGTATGCAGCTTGGATGAATGGACCTCTCAGGAGCAAGACTTAGTATTGTGTTCAGAAATTTCAAATATTGTTCCCAGCATTTGTATTAAATCAGCTGTGCCCATACAACCTTTGTCTCGATGTATTCAGGATACTCACCTGCTTATTATTTTGTGCACTGATCTTTCAGTGTACCTTAGCAATTTGATTTCTTCATTCCTTCTGCTATCCCCTATTCTCATTTAGATATAATTCAGCGGCTTCTAGCAAGTATCTTTGTTTCTCTGTGTTTTGTCTCTCCCTTTTGTGATCTTCAACTTAAGCTTTCAAAACCTCATCCTAACAGTAGCCATTCTTATAAGTAACTCTTCTACAAATGGCTACGGGTTCTTAGCAGGTAAATGTGGCATTATACGGATAAATTACTTTTTTCTCCCTTTATGGCTGGAGATAAGGAGCAGCCTATGAAAGGCCTGACTTCACAGGTGAAAAAAAATCAACTGTTTGCAGAGCTGTTCATAGCAAGATTTGTATCTAGTTGTTTTCCCTTTGTTCATGAGCTGTGTCAAGGATGAGTAGTGATTTTCCAGAAGAGGTGAGAAGAACAGTGAATAGTAAGACTGCCATCTTCAGCTGATTAACATTTAATTCCCGATGCTGCCTATAGATTGTGTGGTGGGTAACTGCAGTGAAAGAAGAAAGGGAATGAACTGTACTTAGCTATGTTTATGCTGAATGTGCTGAACGTTTCTCATTACTGGCATTGCTGATAAACCCGGAAAGTCTGAAAACAGCAATTTTCACCTGGTCACCCCCTTTGCCCTGGTGCATGCAGTGACCCTGATGTCAGGGGTGCTAGGTACAGACATCCCTAGTGTGGATATTTCTGTTCATGGGGCTATCTCAGCTTCAGCCCCCAACTCAACCTCAGCAATTGCACTCTGAAGCAAAGAAGCGCTGAAGCTTTAGAGTTGAAAGCTTAGGAAAGTCTGTAGGAAGGGGAGCCTTCAAGCATGGTAAGAACAAGGAAGGACTCCTTACGGACCATACAAACTGGTTCTTGAAGGCAAATCAGCAACAGGGTGAAAATTCTGAAATCAAATACAGGGGGTATTTGGTACCACAATTAATCCAATAAAAGTCATTTAAAATGCTGGAAGAAGTACAGCTCTATTGATATGCTGCCCAGCTCAAGACTTGCACTGGCAGTCATTCATGAGAGATTTTCAGGAAGCCTTCAAAACATTTGTGGCTAGAGCATATCTTCCTCAGAAAGTTGTTTAGTTGTTCTGTGAAATGTGTGCAGACAATTAAAAGCCCTCAAAATATGTCGCACCCTTCACGATGCTATCAGCACTGTCAGGAGAGCAACAGTTCCTTTGAATATTTGTCTATCAGCTTTTGGTGGTACTTTGGTGGCCTGCTGCCATCTTCCATCTCGCAGCCTGTGCCATTCTTTGTGATGAATGTTCCTAATCATTTTAGTCAGCTCCAGAACAGACTACTTAAAAGTCTTTATCTGGGCTGTTACTGTGAAGTTGACAGAAAATAGCAACTTAAGGACACAGCACTGGCTTAGTCTGAGGATTTTGTGAGCCTCAGTAGGGCATATGAAGCTGATTCTGCAACCTGCTGTTCCTTTCTGGCCCCTTTCTGCTGCACGAGGAATCAGAGTGGGCTCAAACATGGAAGAATGTCTTTGTGGGATCTGTTACTGTCATTCATCTGCCTCAATAGGAACTGAACAGAGTCCAAAGAGAAATTCATAATGATTTTAGGTGACCTACTCCTACCGTAGACCCTAGTGCTCTCAAACTGAAGAAACAGCACTGAGCAGGGTTATGGACCTTAGAGAGAAGTTGACAGGGTTATGTACTTGGAAAGGGATCCCAGTTCAGGAAATACTGCTTTCTTCCAGAGAGATCCCCAAATTGTCATTTCAGGCCCCATTTTCCTGCTTGTTTGTTCATCATTGTATTTCCCAGGGCATCTGAAGGATGAAGAGAAATCCAGGCTGTTCTGTGAGCAGATTTGCCTTCCTTTCACTGCTGCAATCCCCTCACTTGCCCCTTTTGTCTGTCTGTTTTCACATGACCAGCTCGTACACAGGTTTCACAGCTTTTCCAATGTCTGCAAGCCTGCCTGGAGCAGCCAGGTACCTTTCAATTTCTCCAACTTCTTCCTCTGAACAAGGGACAACAAACTAGGTGGCTTGTCTACAGCCACGCGCTTGCTGATTGACAATCCAGCAATTCAATTAGGGCACGAGCTCTCCTACCTTTCTCTGTAATGAGGTCGTTTAAAAGTTCCCTGTCTTCTGCACAACAACTGATTTTCAGGACACTTGCGGTAATTTAGTATCTTTGAGACTTCTGAACAATTTGCTTCAAATTGGCTATTGGGCTCAAAAGTTATTAAGGAAAATTGGCAGTTACATAGACAGAAAGCATAATTTAATGGCTCCTGTTTTCTTAGGAAAGCAGCCCAGAAATAACAGGCGTGTTTCTATGCTGCAACTCATTATTATTCCACAACCAAGATTTAGCAGAGTTCATCAGTGTAAGTAGTTCTCATTGTTTTTTTCAGGTTGTGGTTGTATTGCATCCATACTGATACTAAAATGACAAAGACTTGTAAAATGCTAGCAATCAAACCAGATATATGAGACTAGGAGATATTCCTGGGCAGGTTTGCAGTAAGAATAGAGGCACCCTTCAGTCACAATCCTTAATGAGAAGGTTGCTATATTTATGCAGCTAATAGAGGCTAACTGTAATACAAACAAACAAAGAGAAGCCACAGGCTGTTAATGGGGGAATAGGAACTGCCCGTGTTTCCACCAAAGATTATTTAATTTAAATACTGCTTGCCAAGTTTACTCTGTCCTATTTTATTGCATCAGAATGCAATAGAGAAGATGCATTGCACTCCCGTTTCCCTTCACTTGCATCCCCAGCACAAGATTCTCATTTTGGCTGGTGTTCCAGCACACTTATTTCATGAAACTATCATTTGAGCCTAACCTTTCTGATCAGTCAGCCAGGAGTAAAACTGGTGCTGAGAATCTATTGTAAAGGGCAAAGAAATCTATGCGGGCCTCACCTCTACAACTCAGTACATCTTGCCTGAAGCTTTGCACATAGCAGGGTGCCTTGCAATGATGAAAGGACTGCCAGTGTGAAAATAGTTGCTTCCTAACCAAGTCCTGTGTTATGTTTTGTGAGTGAGCTCACCTGCACGAGCCCAAGTAGTGCTGAATCTGTTGGAGGTGTTCTCCAACGCCTAGTTCTGCTGGGGAGCAGGTGTTAATGCCTTTGAATAGGGTGCAGTGTTATTCAGAACCATTAGCACCCCCGTTATCTCATGCAGTAGTGCACTATACCAAAAGTCCATACTCTTTGCTACAGTGTTGTTTGTTGTGCAAAATGTTCCTGAAAATGGGAAGAATTACAAGATTTTAAACAGGAAGTATCTCTGGAATACATAAATGTAGCATACAAAGGGAAATTTTTCTCTTTAGCATTTTTTTCAGTGAATTCCAAGAGAGTTCATAACTCAAAATTGCACAACATACTTTTAGATTCCTTAACATTTAGATGTTTAACTTACGACATGTATATTTAGACTTGCTGGTCCCCTCCTGCAACCTGCCTCTTCAGTGAGATATCTGATCTGTGATTTCATATCCTTTTCTTGCAATCTCTTGTAATTTAAAGGCAAGAAATAGGTTCAGCATAAAAAGCCACATTAGTATGTGAAGATTTCTGCTTCCTAGGCCTAGCAAAATACTCCTGGTGAAAACTCCTCTGCCTGGCATTGTGAGAGGGAGGATCTGTGCTGTCAACAGTACTGAACTCTCCTTGTGCTGCTTTTCTGTCCTTTACTGCTCTCTTTTGCTCTCCTGAGCATCACTGTAAGTTCTTTATAGCTGCTATTTACAGTGTTGGGCTGTAGTCAAGAGGCACTGTTGAATTATCTCAAAATAATATTAGAAAACAAGTCCCACCCACTGACTAAAAAAAAAAAAGCTGAGAAGATTGCACAAAATTACAGCAATCGATTTCTCATTTATACATCTGAAGGGGGAAATCACCTAGAGAAAGATGTAAGAGCTCACTTTTCATTCAGAATGTTTTGATCTACGAGAAGAAACGTTATTCAAATTGTTGACAGAAGCAGACCCTTGCCACATGCAGTGTATGTTCATATTGGGTATGAATAAAAGTTTGAATTTTCTGCCTGAAAACTCTCCCTTGTGCGTTGTTGGAAGTGCTCATGGCTGGCGATGAACTCTCCCTCCTCTTCCAGTGATGCCAGGTTCAGTGACACCTCAGGACACCTGTTACCTCAGTGTCTCTGCGTGTCTTATAGATATTGGAAGAGAGCTCTAACAAGCACATTCAATGTTTTTAAAGGCTTTTATATTCCCTAAGGCACTCGAAAAATCGACATCCTTTGTTCCAAAGTGATCTTCTCCCTCCCTCCCTTTTTCTTCCCCTCCTTCCTTTTTGCTTCCTGTCGCAATCACCTCAGGTTCAGCAAATGCCTGAAGAATGGCCTGGTGTGTGTCGGGTTCCCACATTAATTAGTTCAGATTTTCTCTGAACTAGCTGTGATAGATCATTCTGCCAGCCTCACGTCTGCAGTACATGAAAATTGGCGTAGGTAGAGTCAGCACGCAGTATGTGAGATGCAGTTATTTACTCTCACTCATCTCTTCTGATTACCTTTGGTTTCTCAAGGTCACCACATGTATTTGCTTCTTGCTGTGGATAATTTCCGCAGCCTTTATTTAATCATTCTGAGAGATTTCTTTCATCCTCTTTTAATGCTCGTGCTGTACTCAGGGCTTCTTGTGGGTAGGAGATAGGGAAGAGGAGTCTCCACAGGCTCCACAAATGTGGATGTTTGATAAGATAAGAGATACAGCTTTCCTTGGCACACAGGGAGCAGGCCATATTTTGGAAGGAGGCTCACGGTGCTGCTTCATTCACCAAGAGCTGCTGGGTTAGGCATGACGGGGCACTGCCTGCACTCTGCCCAGACACCCCCACGCCAAGTGCATGCAGCCCCTGTGGGGCTGATTTTCTGATCAGCAGCACCATCTCTAAAGGCAGCGATTAAAATCCAGCGCTGGCTCTCTCCAGACATTTCTGGGTCCGCAGTGCCCAGTGATTTGCCAGCCCTCAGTTCTTTTGCTTGAAGCCAGCTTCTGCTGACGCTGCTGTACCGTGAGTTGGTTCTAGCTTGGTGAAATTCAGCGGCGTGGTATTTGAATATTTATCAAGCTGCGGAGAGTTAATGCAGTATGGCATTAATTAGCCTTTCTGCCTGTCTTGTTCTTTTTTTAGATGTCATTCTTAGTTTAATAAATTAGTTTCTGGGAATGAAGTCGAGTGGATTCCAGGGCCCATGGATGGTTTGCTTCACGCTGCAGCCAAGACGAGCATAACATTAGGAACACGCAGAGTGTCAGCTATGAAGGAGCATTAAAGACATGGCAGCTTTCCCCCCCCTGCTCCCCACATCCAGGAAATCCCCAAGAAAATATCTGTTAGAAAATTGACATGTTTTCCTCCCAGCTTTAATGATTGTACTAATGGCTACACAGCCTCCTAATCAAACTGCACGGAGCTGGCTTTCCTCGTTCTTCATAGGCGACTCACGCCACATCTCTCTGAAAATACTGTTATTTTAATCCCATCACAGCTTCATTAGTTCAGCTTTCAGCAGCGGTTTCTGCTTGCAAGTGTGTTTTTTTTTTCTGCATGAGTTGTGTAAAACCCACAGCTAAGTGCCGTTGTTGCGCTCTCGGGGTGGGATTCTCAGCCTGCTGCAAGTTACAGCCTTTTATGCCAGCTACATTTCTGGCCCGTAAACTTCAAATCATCTAGTCATATAAATATCATTTCATTTCTTCATATGTTTATGCCCAGCAATACCTCCTGAGGATCGGTGCACAGCCAATATGGAAGAGGAAATTGATTGTAAGCATGCCTTTTCTGAAATAATATCACATTTCCTTCACAATCCAACTGGGGTGCCATGATCACTCAAAGCAGCACAGAAAACAAACACTTCCTTTGGGTTTTGACTCACGAGGTATTGCTGTTCTCAAGCAGATGTTCTAAAAATGTTCTAAAAATGTCTGGAGACATCTCTGCTTATTTTATTTTTATCATCCCCAGGAAGCAGAACCTCTCTACGCCCAGATCAACAGACCTAAGAAATAGCATTGGTACAGGCTTGTGGTGCTCCGAGACTCGAATGAAACCCACCAACCTGGCAGGCCTTTGGCTTTCATGCTTTTTTCCGATTGATTTTGGCTGGCAAGGATAGATGATTGCCCTCCTGGACTGGCTCTGCGAGTGTTCCTGATGATTTTTGGCAACCAATGGCAGATTCCTATGGCAGCACAAAATAAAAACTCCCTGCTTATCACACCAAGAGTCCAGCCCTGTCCCCACAAGTCATGGGTATCCAGACTAGGAAATCTTGCTCCTCGGTCTTCTTTTCAACATTGGTTATCTTCTGTATGCCACATATAAATAACGAGCATCTGAAATTTACTGAGTATCAGACATTCCTTTTCTTTTGAGCAAAAAGCAGAATCTGTATGTAGCAGTGGCATTATCATTCAACAGCCTTTTGGGCACAAGTCGGCACTTTTTATGTCACGGTGACATGTTTTTCATCATCATTTACATCAGGCTGATCCTGACTTATTTTTTTTTCCCTTGTGTAGGCATATTTAAACAACAGCAACAACAAAATACTGGCAGTGTCATTTTTTTTGTATTTCTTATTCTGTAGTTTTGTATGAGTGACAGATCTAACAGCAAAACACCTCCTGCGGAAACGATTCCTAACTTGAAACCACAGAATAAAACTCGGTTGTTTATCCATCCTGACTGAAAATGTTGCCAAATGTACCTTTAAGTTCTAGCGCATCATGAGGAAGAAATGCTGCTTTTCTGTTTGAATACTCATGTTGTGGGTAGAGGAAGGACATCAAGTCCCACTGATGGAAGAGATGAAAGATTCACTATTTCCTAGGAAACTCTAAACAAAGTACAGAAAAGGAATATTTTTATTTCTTCGATATCTTGCTGCTGTAATGCTATGCAGACAAGTGTTTTCTTCTCTGTGTGCCATTTTTGATGAAAAAAATCATTTGCCAAATAATACTGGTATGATTCTGGTTTGGGAAGTTGGATGGAAAGGACTTTACAAATGGGACAACGGTGGCATGGATTTTGGAATAACGAACTGATTCTGTGATCAAATCGTTCATCTTTATCACTTTTTGTACATCAGAAAAATCAAATGGGATTTTTATTTTATAACTTGAAAAAAAATCTTACTGTTAAACTCTTTAAATGTTAAAGGGGAAATGGCTTTAAGGAGTTCGAATGAAAATTGCCAGTTTTTTTGTAAATATAAATGTTATGAAAATTCTTTTACTAATGCCATTACACGGTAGAGAAGGTAGCAAGTTGCAGTGCTTGGGAGGTGTGGCAAACCCAATTTGTGGTTCTCACATCACATACGTTTTTTCACATGCTTACGATAATGGGCTGAAGCTCAAGTGCATTTGCCAAAAGCAGTCAGCTTGTCAGCAACTAGTGAAATTAATGGGAACACATGATTTTATGATCTAGCTTTTTCACACAGGCATACTCCACGTACGAGAACTCACATTTCATTGGCATTCCTTTACGATTCCAGAACCTCTGCATAGAAGTCATCCAACTGTTTACACATAGAATGAAAGAATTTAAAACTTCCGTTTTTTTACATTTATGAAGCAAAAGTGCAGTGTTTGGGTTCATATGTTTAGCACATGATTTTCATAAAGAATCTATATATTTTTGCCCTACAGAGAATTGTTATACAGGTCAAATGTGTTTTCCTGATGTTCCTATGCAGTTACAGTATATTGAATTTAGTGGTTTAACACTAAAAAGAAAAAAAAAGAAAAAGAAGAAAAAAAGGAAAAAAATAGAAAAAAAAAAGAAAAAAATAGAAAAACAAAAAAGGTTAAAGAAATTAAATGATTAATCTGTTTTTAGGGTTATTGTGCAGATTTTGTTTTTAAATTGACACATTAGGATTTGCATTTTTGTCATGATTAAAATAGGCCTGGAGTTATAAATATTTTACTTTCTTTCATCTCTATTATAAGCTAAAAATGGTTTAGAAGGCAGAATACCTGGGGTGGCAATTGTGGATACGTATAACCAAATCTCACCACATGATTCCAGTCTTTTATTTTGAATTAGAGAAATTAGAGAAATGTGCGTTACAGAATGTATGTGAATGAAAAATTAGCTGTGAATAGACCTAACGAACCTGCAGAGAAGAGAACTTTTATCCCCATCCACAGTCGTTTGATGCTTATTTCTTAGACATGTGCAAGCAGTTTTGTAGCAAATCTTATTTTCCCATCAGAAGAAAGGTCAGTTTTCTAACCGGAGACAATGAATTAAAACTTGGTGGGTTGAGCGTTTTGGGATTAAAAGCAGAGGTAAAAATGTTTCTGAAGGACATTACATTAAGTATATTTTCCTAGTTTGCACAGTGGTGCTACCTTCTTCTTCAGTGGCTCCTTTCAATTTTGTCCTACATACGGAACCACGAAGACAGTTTTGATTCATAGTAGACATTTGAGGTTTAGTCTAGTCAGCACATCTCCAGTTATGGGGTAAAATATTGAAAGGAAAAGAAGAGATTTATGTCTCAGAGGATCCATTGACATCATATTTGTAGGAAGCAGATCATTTACATAGTCCTTGCAACAAATAGGTGCGGAGGGAAGGAGGCTGGGATTTTAGTGTTTTGGGAGAGACAGCTGGACCATCCCCGTGGACCACTGTCCTACCTTTGCCAATGTTCATAAATAAAATTAAATTCAGAATTGTCGTGTCATACAATTAGATCGTCTTATTCATGACTGAGATGCTGATTTGAGAGGATTGTAAGGCCTCTGCACTGTACCAGTATTGTAGATAACTAAAATATCCAGCTTGTGCAATTGTTTAATCCCTCGTCCTTCACTAGCACTAAATTCGTCACTTTAAATTTAAAAACCAGGGAATCCCACCAGCCATCTTGTTGTCATCCCCCGTAGATTCTTGATCTTTACCTGTCATGAAAAGATATTTTGATAGATCGTAGTCATCCAAGTGTCTGATGAAACCTTTCATCTAATAACGTACTGGGCACCTTCTTTGCAAAAATGTTTACTCCGTGGTTTTCATTCATTTTTATTTCTGCATTCTGACACATATTTTTTTAATAAAGATGAGAAAGATAAAATGACTGTTGCAGTACATTTCTAAACCTACTTTAACTTTACCTCAGATAATGACCATTTGTTAACACATACGGACACATTATTTTTAACTTTATGTATAATGCATTCAGCAACAAACAAAAAAAAAAAACAACAAATTTTTAGAAATTTTCCATTAATTTCTGTAACACACCATGTAATACTGTTATGAATAAAAACATTTTAAAAAGGTGTCATTTCACTAAGTTTGTTCCATAGCTTTTGCTCTTCTGTGAAAATTCTGGCATTTGTACAGTGCAATGTGGATATCTGTCATGACCAAAATCTTTGACAGGTACTAAATAATCGGGAAAGAATATCTGAGAAAAATAACTGCCTCTATTTGGAGAATACCTCTTCTTAATCACTCTAGTTGTTGATTATCTTGCAGAGGCTAAACTTGCTACTTTTAGATGCTGCCTCCCTATTTTTGGCCTCTTCTGGGCTGTTTGAAACATTAACTGTTTTAGTCACCTCCTGTTAAATCCCGTGTTCCTGGGGAAAACGTGCTGTGTAATGCTACCAGAGCCGGAGCAACTCTGTAGAATGAGAAGCTGCAAATCATTTTGCTCGAGGAAGATTTAAAATGAAAATTGTGCATTTAAACATGACAGTTTTCCAAGTTTGTAGTAAAACACCAAACTTTCCAGTAATGCATACGGAATTGAGAGCCAAGCCTTGATCCAGAAAATGTATTATTGGTCCCCTTCTTTTCCAGTGGGACTTCTCTGCCTCGTGTGGCACTGTGTAAGGTAAGCTGAAGTATTCTGCTGGTGCGAAGCTCTGAGGCCACATGTAAAATGCAATTGCTTGATTTTCAGAGGAACTAAGCACTGGATCTTTCAGCCAAAATGAAGAGTAATGGTTTTGCCAAGAAATAATGCAAATATGGAAGAGTCCACATTGAAATTTCAGGGTAAGAAGTATGTGTCTATATAAAGGAAGAGAGAGAGCAGTATGTATGCACATACATTTAATTAAATGTCTTCTTGCTGTCCCTTTTTCATCTGCTGGAAGTGTCCAGTAGGTCATGCTGCAGCATTATGTGTTACTGGAACTTAGGCATGGTAGGAATCTGTGGATTGAATGTAAAAATATCCACCTCAAGTGTAAGTAGGTAAAGAAATGATCCTAATTTAATTAATGTTTACTAAGGCCATGCTCTCCTGCAGCAACGACAACTTATTTAGCAAACAGTTTTCAGGATCACCGTGCAGTTTTACAAGGACTCTTGACAGAGCTCTTTTTTCCATGTCAGCAACTTCTGGGAAAGAATTGTTTGTACAGACTGGGAATACTCAACTTGAACTGGTTTACGTTGGATCAAAGGTAATGTTGCTTCCTTTTCTAAGGTTGTGGTATATATTTCCATGCACCATTTCCTTCTTTCTTTTCTTTCTGAACAACTCATGTCCTATCAGGGTCATGGGTATTAGTTTTCCGGTAAATACCATCCTCATTCAGAAGAATATCATTTTCAAAGCAAGAAGAGGGGATGGTTGCTGTCAGTTTTGCTCCAGAGGTTTGGATTCATTGTCTATAATTGTCTCGTTAAGCCAACACGGAAAACATGATGGTAAATGAACGAAGTGAAATCCCATATGGAAGCCAGAAAGTGCAGGTTTTTAGTGAATGTGTGACATTGGCCATCTATTCCACTCAAATATTACCACTATTGCTGACGCTGTCTGTACTGCCTCATGCAAGGCTCCTGGCATCTGATTCTGCTTCTGTATGGGAAACCAGTGGGACTCACAGCTGTTCCTGGCTGTGCCTTGATGTTATTACTACAAAAGTCATGGTCTGTAAGAGTTACTGTATGTACTCTTGTAACAAGGTCTTGCACAAGCTGGTCTTCTCAGTCTAATTCACTTTTTAGGAGCAGCCCTGTAAAGAGCCATTTTTTGAATACCTCAGATAAAGCAGAGAGGTGGCATGGGGAAGGGAGAAGGGTGTTTTATTTCTTGCTTCACTGGCTGTCTCAAAGTATGTAGGAACCAAATTATACATTTCAGCATGACAGTGAGGAATATGGGGAGATGTCCTGATACGATTTCCTGATTACCTGTTACATTGCCTGTCTCTTTCTAAAATTATCCTACTGGAGGCAGGGAATAACAGGTCTATTAGTGAAACGATTGTCCAGCTATTAGTTTTTAGAGCTTTAAATAGTCTTATCTCAATGTACGTGTTTGCCCTGTGGCTCATCTATCACCCCTAAAATGTTTTATCAGCACCTGAAAAATCTCAGCAAGAGGAATAGCCTCAAATGTTACCCATTCAAGTGGTTTTCAGATACAGGGTATATTTTTTTAAAGGTCTTTTAAGATCTGATGCAATTTGTTAGCTTTTCAATCCCATTTCATAGCTCCCGCAGCACCACTTACGTAAATGCTCCTAACCAGCAAGGAAAGGATATCACAATAGATTAAAAGAAAAACAGGTTAACAGGCAGCAAATCAATGTCCATTCGGCCTCAGACATTTGTGAAAATAAGGGATTATGAAGAATTATTGCCAGGTACTTCAAGTGTGAAGACTTTTGTGCCATTTCTGTCTTCCTTAACAGCGGATAGTTGTTAGGAGCTTGAGAAAAGCTCTCAGGGTCAGAAGCATGTTGTATTAGAAATAAGCAGAACTTATAAAGCTTTAAGCTGTTGCAATTCTCTGTAAATTTTATGCTATTTGACAGTGAGATGATGAGAATCTCAGTTTTTCTTCAAAGTACACTGAGTTTCTAGTTTGAAAATGAATTTGTGTGTGTTATCTTGAAGTCCAATGGAGATGAGATGGAGATGGTGTTTTTTTCTTTCATTGCTTACTTGATACTGCAACCACTGCTATACAGGACCCTAGAATTAGAGCTTTCAGTGTAGATGTACCTTTACCTAGTTTGGACCAAGCCATTATGAGGCATTACTTTTTAGTGAATCAAAAGGCAAAAACAGAGAATAAGCTTGACAAGGTGAATTTTTTATATCCAGGGCTTTACAGATAGCAGCTTCACTACCAGAAAACAACTGTATTAGTAACAGAAAAGATGATGCAAAACAGAAATGCTGAGTCAGTTGTAAGTAAACATCTGAAAATGTTCCTTGGGGTTTGTTATTTGTAACCTTTACCATGTATTTGCCACCTTACACTCTTCACCACTAAAATCTGTGGGAGATCCCCCTCTTACCCTTGAATAAGACAGTTATGTTCTTCTGCAGAAGGAAGTATGAGTTATGAAGGAGGGAATGAAAAGATTTTTTTCAGAAAAGGAGAAAGATAAATTGTTTTTGACCAGTATAAAAACTTCTTGCTCCCATCTAACCTTTTCCACGGAGGGCCTTTCATCACTAGTATGTGTTAGTTTTAATTTGGGCAGAAAGCAGCCGTTAAAAAAAAAATCACCTTTGGTGAAACTGTATGGGTTTTATTTACAGGGGCAAGAGGTTACAAACTTTTGTTGGTGTTAGGAACCCTACAAAGGATGCATTGCACTTGAAAGCTCATGATGGACACTTAGCGAGCCTTCATTTTCAAGTGTGATAAAACCCACTTTCAGTGTCTTAGAGCACTGTTAGGGTTAAGTGCTTTGGGATTTAAAAAACAGCTCAGCAGACAGCCGGGGCTATTACACTCAGCAATGAAGAAGGCACAAAACTGTGGAAAGAGGACACAGGCGGTGCTACAGGGTGACATTCCCACTGATCCACAGACCCATTATGCCTCAAGCTGCAAGGAGGTGGAAAGCAAGCGGTGGTTGTCATTGTGAATTTTGCATGTTAGACCTCCTTCTTGTTAAACCACGGTATAAATGATGTGGAAAACGTGATTATGCTTTCCAATTCTCTTTGAACAGTATGTTAACATATAGGAAACTCTGCTTCCTTGGTCCCTGCTGTGATTTTAACCTAACATCTTTCTGCTAATTAAGGAGCAGGCATGATCACCACTAAGATGTGTGTGGAAAGAAGGAGTAAAACGGAGATGAGCAGCGTGGCAGCAAGCTGCTTGGAGGTCTTCACACACTGTGGCACTATCGTGGTTTGCAGTAAAACCTAGGGTGTGCTCTGCGCTTACAATCTTAGCTTCTCTCTTGCTGCTATTTCAATATTGGATTTGTACTGCATTTCTCAGCCAGCAAGGGGCCTGCAGATGGAGAGGTCTTTCCTGTAAGTGGTTGTTTTGTGTTATTTTTGTGTTTTGTTTTTTTTTGCTGTTGTGCATAAATAATTAACAGTTAAATCAATCATGTCAAAGGTTGAGCAAGCTGTATCAGATAGACACACCTTCATTTTAGTCTGGGGTCAAAGTCATTTGACACACACAAAAAATAAGGCAAAAAAAAAGCAAACAAAACGCCAGTCTCAGCCATCTTTCCTAATAGTTTGTCCTCCATGTCCGGAGATGAAAGGACAGCTGGTCACTGACTGCGTTCAGTAACACTGAGAAACCGACTGCCAAAACAATAAAAAATCTTCCTGTTCTGGTCAAATTCCTACAAGGACTGAGTTAATGTGCTTCTCTTTGTTAAATGGTTATCATCAAGTTGCCAAACTAAAAATGCAGCAGCCAGTTAACTTCATTTTCAGAGATGGTGCCATCTGTGAGGTGAGTACAACACATTTAAAAGGTGACACACTTGTCCAGGTCATTACACTGAGGTCGGTTTGGGATGGTGTCAGTGAATATGATTAATTTTATGTGCAGCATCCATCATTCCCGTAATGAGCAATTTTAAATGGATTTATTCCTTGTGGCATTGGAGCAATCAGATCCTTGGCCCAGGGCAAGAGACTGTGGTGCTAAGGCCACAGGGCAGGGCCGCGTCTCCTCAGAGAACCCCTCTGGTGTTCAGCCAGAGGAAGGCTGGGAAAACAATGATATACATCACTTTGTACAGGGAAATGCAGATTTGGAGAACTTTAACCCTCCAAAATACTTACGGTAGGTTGAAGAGGAAGGCTGTTGTCTCAAGAGCCAAAGAGAGCCATACCCGAATTGAGAAGCAGCGGGCCTGTGAATGCTGCCTCAACAGGCAACTGAAGAAATACTCAGTGAGGTTTTGAGGATCCCAATCTGCCTCTGAAAGCTTGACTGAGCTGCTGGGAGGCAGCCCCTGGTGAGTTCTCTGCCCTATTTATGCCCACATAGGTCAATACTCCATCAGGTCTCATGCCTGTGGCCTCAGGGCTTTGGGCATTTTGGGG